TCCGGCAAGGGCCAGAACTTCAACCAAGAAGGTGGTGGAGGCTATAGCGTCCATCAACGAGAAGCCCACGTGTGATCCTGGAACTGTTGAGCTAGCCCGACGTTGCACTCGGAGTGCATATAGTGGAGGAGACCTACACCTGAAAAGCGTGCTCACACCAACAACAGGCGTATTTCATTTTCTCTTACATTTTTGTTTGTAAACCGTAGAAAACATTGCATGTAAAACATCTATTAACACATAGACATGAACCCTCTACGTCTTTGATTTTGATGATGAATATTTTTGAACAATTTTAAACATTTCATGGACTTTTTTTGCTTCTGTTGTAACGCCAAAAAAAAGTAGTTAGATATAAAAGCCTGTTTGGAAAAGCTCTATATAGTTGAGATTTACGATAGAGATGCATGAAGCCCTACCAAACATAACAACTCCAAATTGAGAGCGTTGCAAAACACAACAACTCTAAACTGGGCGTGGAGCAGCAAATCTCTGGATGGCTCATCTCAAATGCGTAGTCCTCTTTGGTGGGCTTTGAATTCTCCAAAAATTGTGAAGCCAGAAAAGACACTTTTTTTTTTACTTTGCCTTCTAGGCCAAAACGGCACCACCTTTTTTTTTATCTGGTTTTAACTTCACGATATATGTGCCTGTTCGCTTGGCTGATAAGCCATGGCTGAAAGTACTGTTGGCTGATTTGTTGTGAGAAAAAAATACTATTCATTGGCTGAAAAAGTACGGCTTATAAGCTAAGCGAACAGGGCTATGAGTGTTTGGTAGGGCTTCTTTTAAGAAAACCACATAAACTAGAGATGAAACCAAAGAGAAAAATAGCGGGCTATAGCGGCGTAGCGGCTGGACAGGGTACGCGCTATAGCGCCGCTAAGTTGCATAGCTTAGCATTTTAAATAGCGGCACTATTCCAACAGGGCCATATGAGTGAAATTCTGGCAGCCTGCTAAGTCCACTGAAGCCCAAAACCAATGAAACCAAAGAATGCAAGAGGGCAAGAGATGAAGTTAACTTGGATCATTCAGGGGGAGAAGCGTCAAGTGAAGAAGATGATGGTAATTATGCTGCTGCTGTTGTTCACTCAGGGAGAGCTGGAAGCGCAAGTAGCTCCAAAGGTGGCCCTATGGAGAGGTTCTGCAAGTCCACTCCAGAAGAAGTTGTTGCTCCAAAGGGAGCAAGCACAGGTGCACTCAAAAGAAAATGAGCAGATTGCTTCATGACAGGATGAGTGACCTTGTGTATGTAATTTAACTCCAGGCTGAAGCATAAAGAGAGAATAAGACAAAGGACCCAATTGAGAAGCAAGTTGTAGATATTCTAGAAGACGATGACAATAAATTTATCAATGGAGTTGCACTTGCAGCAGATGATGAACAAGAAGAACCAAAAGACCCCCAAGCTAAAGGTGAGAAAGTACCGGAACAAGAGGCTGCACCAACAGAACCAGAACATGGTAAAAGGAAGAGAGTTCCCCGAGAAGAGGGTGAAGAAGATCACATATATTAATGATGGCAAACAATCTGTGCCGGAGATTGTAGCTGCTTCATCTTGTGATACAGAAAATGATGACGATCAAGATGTCAACATGCATCGTCAGTCTGGAAGTGACAAATGTTCTCAATCTGACTCTCAGAACTCCATCTCAGACTAGATTATCAGTTATCATTTGCTACTAATTTGATATTTTGGACAATTAAGCTTTCATAAACCATGTTGTAATGTCATATTGGTATTTAGTAATGTTACCTAGACTTGTGGAAACATATTTGTGTTCATTAAAATTCATATTTGCCATTTTTTTTCATCAATCACTGATGTTTTCCATGTATTTTCTATAAAAACGTTATCTGTCATAGCGTCACTATAACTGCATAGCTGCTGAAAAAAAAATTCCCGCGATTTTAAACTTTGTATGAAACCTCTCTAGAAGCTATGCCAAAATGGTCCCTATACAGTTGTAAAAACGCAGCTCCCGCGCATAGAGATGTTATTTTAATGGAAATATAATACCCATACCTGCACAAAAAAAATTAGAGGCTTTTACCCGTGTGCCATTATAAAAGTTGATAATTATCTACGAGCCATTAAAAAAGTTGAGTTTTCATAGGTGCCACTACTGTGAACTCTTTTGTCCTCCACGCCACTTCCGTCAGATTTTGCTCTAACGGTGTTAAACCGCGGTTGTGAAAAGTCCAAAATACCCTCATGTCTGAATATACAATTAATTTTTTTGAGCATCTTAATGACCTCAAATGAAAAAACTCAAAACTAGAAAGTTGTAGATCTCGACAATATCTATAATTTTTGTATAAAAATTATCTTCATTTAATTCTGAACAAAAAATATGATTTGATATTATTAATGTCTTAGAAAAATCATATTTTTTTTGTTTGGAATCAAATGAAGATAGTTTTTATAAAAACATTATAGATCTCGACGAGATCTACAACTTTCTAGTTTTGAGTTTTTTTCATTTGAGATCATTAAGATGCTAAAAAAGCTAATTGCATATTTAGACCTGAGGATATTTTTGACTTTTCACACCCGCAGTTTGACAACGTTAGAGTCAAATCTGACAGAAGTGGCGTGTAGGGCAAAAGAGTTCAGAGCAGTGGCACCTGTGAGAACTCAACTTTTTTAATGCTTTATGGGTAATTACCAACTTTTATAATGGCACATAAGTAAAAGCCTAAAAAAATTACAGCGACTACACTGGATTCACAGTTAGAGGCTTTTAGCTGTGTGTCATTATAAAAGTTAGTAATTATTTATAAGTCATTAAAAAAGTTGAGTTCTTACTGGTGCCACTGCTGTGAACTCTGTTGCCCTCCACGTCACTTCCGTCAGATTTGATTCTAATGGTGTCAAATCGCGGTTGTGAAAAGTCTAAAATACCCTCAGGTCTAAATATGCAATTAATTTTTTTGGACATCTTAATGACCTCAAATGAAAAAAACTTAAAACTAGAAAGTTGTAGATCTCGACAATATCTACAATTTTTGTATAAAAATTATCTCCATTTAATTCTGTAAAAAAAATATGATTTGATATTATTAATGTCTTAGAAAAATCATATTTTTTTTACGGAATCAAATGAAGATAGTTTTTATAAAAATATTGTAGATCTCGACGAGATCAAAATTTTTTAGCTTTGAGTTTTTTCATTTGAGATCATTAAGATGCTAAAAAAATTAATTACATATTTAGACCTGATGGTATTTTCGACTTTTCACATCCGCAGTTTGACACTATTAGAGCCAAATATGACAGAAGTGACGTGTAGAGCAAAAGAGTTAAGAGCTGTGACATACGTGAGAACTTAACTTTTTTTTATGGCTCATGAATAATTACCGACTTTTATAAAGTAAAAGCCTCTCACAGTTAATCCTGATGCCTCCCCTCGCTCGGGTTGAGGGACCAGAATATGGTGGTCCTCGTCGTGGTTGCTGATCGCGTCGACGCACGCTGGACGGACGGGCGGGCCGCCGTTGGTCGACGAACTCCCGGGTACAGGCGTACAGCCGCCGTCCAGCGAAGCCTCTGTCGCCGACTCGCGGGCGGGCACTCCGCTCCGTCCGCTGCAGCAGCCAGCCAGCTAGCCAGCCAGCAGGGAGCCCCACCGGGCCGCGGGAAGAAGTGGGCCCCACCGCGCAGCGTCACGAGAGTGGGGCCGGGTAGGCGTAACGACGAATCCGGCACTCCGAACCACCGCATCCGTCCTCGACTGCTCCGGTCGCCTTCCGTCGCCTACTCCCTCCCACCCTCCCTCCCTCCCTCCCCCGTCACGTCGAGGCGACGGGGTCCGACCGAGAGGGATGCCTCGCCACCGCCGTCGCTGTCGCTCCCCTCCCTCCCCGCGCTATGGCACCGACATCCCCGCGCTGAACGAGAGCGAGCCCCGGGGGTCGACCTCCGAATCCGCGCTACCGTCCGTCCCGCAGGTGAGCTCGTCTCCTTGCTGCTGCTGCTCGCTCTCCGCCAGGCCCGGGGTGTGTGCCGATGCTCGTGTTCCCAAAGCAATCCCCGCCGTGAAATGCCGCCGGGTTCCATGTCGATTTAGGCGCTTCAGCTTGCTCATCTGCTTTCAAGAGTACCCGTGTTCTGTTGCGAATTATCCTTCCTTCGATTCCGACCTCCTCGCTCCTCGGGTGCGCGGTGCGCTCCTGCGTGCATTCCCATTTCCAGCGCTGTTTGGCGTGCGTTCGCCGCTAGTGGGCTCCAGGGGCGCCATTGCTGTTCCAAATTCGCAGTCGGCGCCGACGTGCGTGCGGCCGAGCGGTCCAGCAGTCGAGCCGCGCTAGCTGGCTGGACGGCGCGACCCCACGCCCGCGGCCAAGCCCAGGCCGAGCGGCGCCGTCCCGACGGCCTACTGACTGGCGGCCCAGATCCACACGGCGCACGGCGAGGACTCCTCACTCTGACTCTCTCCCTCAGATCCGACCGAATTGGAACCCGTACCAACGGCCAATGGGGAAGAGGAAGGAGACGACAGACCTTCATTCCAATGGTTGGTTGCTCCGGGCGGTGTCGGGAAGGGCTTAGTAGTGAATCACAGTATCAACCCCACTGGTGGGGAAAGGCAGCCGCTTCTGCTGAACATAAGGCAGCGTCAATGCCGCTAAAATTAGGGTGTTTACTTTGACACATGCGTAAAAGCATAGTGACCATAGGTTGTGTTTGCTGTTTCAAGCTCCCTACAGCGCTGTTCCTCTTCCATGCTTTATTTAATTCTAAACCACTTCATTTATCCATTAGGCTACTAGTGAGCATATTTCGATGGTAACCGATGGCTTGCCTGTAGTTTTAAAATGTGATTTCATTGCCTGTTTTGTTCACCAGTGCATGAAGTGGGCTGATGTAGGTTGACTATGTCGTTCGTTGCAATTTAACTTATGCGTATATTGGCAGTGTATGCTTTTCCTCAACTTATGTGTCCGTACTTGCAGTGCAGTTGAAGACGAGGCAGCTGTTCTCTACTTAAGGAAGAGATGGCCCATGTTTTGTTCAAAAGCAAAGACATGGATGGTGGCATGTCCCGATGGTCCGAGTATCTAAGTGTTGAAGAACCAATTCCTTCGGCATTGGCAACCTGGAGGAACATGGGTGTTGATGGGCCGCAAGGCTCGTCTGCCAGTGGCCACAAACATCTTCAGATGGAGCCGGTGGTTCAACTGTCAAAGGTTGCGGAAGGCTTGCTGGCGAAAATGTACCGGCTGAACAGCATCCTGGACTATCCAGATCCAAACACGCACACATTCTCAGATTCATTTTGGAAAGCTGGTGTCTTTCCAAATTTCCCAAAAATTTGCATCACGCTGTCAAAAAAGTTTCCTGAGCATCCAAACAAGCTGCAGCTGGAACGGGCAAGGATTCAGTTTTCTTTAGCTGTTCACAGCTCTTCTGGCTCCCTTACTAGAATTCATTTAGTTTAATATGGTGGTGACTGGCGAGTCAATCACTCTGATGCTTTGCAGGTAGATAAGTTTGCTCTTGATGCTTTAAACGAGAATGCTGAAGGTTACATGCACAATCTTGAGCAGTGGATCCTGGTATGTGCCAACCATATAAAGAAATCTGAACCTTTAGGGCAAAGCCCCCCTCTTTCTGTTAATGAAAAACGTGTTGCAATCCAAAACAATATGTGTATGGTACCACCCAAGTCTGTCCAAATTGTGGAAAATGGTTGCATTAGTTAACCTATGAGTTTTACTATATTCGGCTCTCAGTAACCGAGCATCTTTGTTGAACTGATATGACATAGAACCTCACCTGCTCTAATTCTGTGTGACTTATTGCACTGGCTCATTTTCCATTTGTCATTTCACCTGATACATTTTCCAAGCTTGGGTTCATCAGATATGGTATCCGTGAAGGCTGCACATGCTAGCATGGTCAGCCTTTTTTTTAAGCATAAGTTTGCTGTCCCTAATTCTGCATGAGTATCGAGCTTACCATATGAACGAGAAAAAAGCTGTACTTGCAATTTACGAAAAGGCTTGTTAGAATATGTGCCAACAATTGGTACCGTAGTTCGTAGCTTGAGTGATGCACTGCCCTGAACTAACCGTTGTCTTTCTATGCCATAAAAGTGTATTTAGAAATTACTGACTTATTAGTTTAGTTAATTACCTTCATTCCCATTGACGATGTTTTCCTTTCTCCTCATTTTGCTGATTTCCTTCCAATTTCATCCCATCAGTTGCTTCTTGATTTGCTGGCATTTCGTGAACAAGCTTTGCGACTTATTTTGGATTTGAGCAGCACGGTCATAACATTGCTGGTAAGAGATCTCTTGGTCTTGATTGAAATGGCATGCCGTTATTGTCTCATGTAATTGATTATGTTTGCATTATTTTCACAGCCACACCAGAACTCTTTAATTCTTCATTCTTTTATGGATCTGTTTTGTTCATTTGTCCGAGTGAATCTTTTCTCTGACAAGGTAACTATGTTCTTAATTTCATTATATTCGAAATATATTACTACTCTAAATAGTAGTTTTTCCACTTTTACCAAAATAATGTCCTACCTGAACTTCTGTTTGCAGATGCCAAGAAAGATGATCCTCCAGGTTTACAATATCTTGCACGTAATGCTAAAGGGTGGTCGTGATTGTGAGTTTTATCACCGTATGGCGTTACCTTTGGAAAATAAAAGTTGCTTCCACCTTTTAAAACCTTTTTTAATACTATGATTATATTGTTCATCGTAATTTGTGATTTCTATATGCCAGTTGCTGGTGTGTTATAAAATTGCATGAAAACAAATATAGATCATTCTTTATTAGTTAATCATGTGTGTTAATATTATTCTTGATTATTGCTAAAATGAAAATACAAATATGCGCATTGAAAACATAATTCAGAAATTGAAGGCCAACAGTCTGTAAGCCCGAGTATGCTGATTTTTAAGTATTGGCACTTATGTTATTGATAAATATAAATATATTTTCCCCTCGAACAATGCGAGAGAGCTACGCGTTATTTCATTAAGAAGGAAACAGTACAATGGGAGAGGAAGAACCCCTCCCGGTACAAGGAAAAGAAAAAAAAAAACAAAGGGCACACAAAGTGTGGGTGGGTGGGTGGGGGGGGGGGGGGAGGAGACCTTACAGTAGCGCCTGTACTAGCAAGTAACATGACCACTAACCACTATGACCATCCTGAACAACACTAGATACAAATATAGTTATCTTAATCGCTCTTCTAAGAATTTTATATTTAAACACTATCATTGTTGCATGTTTTCAATGTATTATTGTTTATATCTGGAGTGGTACTGTACCACAGACTGTAGCCTGTGCATTTACTACTCTCTCGGGCCATAAAAAAATGCCATTTCAGACAAGATTTAGCTAAACCTTATATAAAGTACAAACATCGATAACTTTTAATTGTTTAGTTTGGAAACATTTAAGTTATATGTGTAGAATCGTCTTGAAAAACACCTGCAGCATCTCATAAATCTGAAGGATTTTAAGGATATAGGGTGTTAGACCCTTGATCTCCGGCACGGAGACCAGTCACTAGTGTTGCCGAGCACACACTAGCGATGCCGACCATGAACTGTCGTTGGCTACCACACGCTATGGTTAGACGAAGAAGACGGGAGGGAGAACAGAGTACACACACAGCACAAGCACCAGCGTTGGCCGGAGCTCTGCAGAGGAGATGACAAACTGAACTCGCTCTCTTTACTGAGTTGCAGTGGCAAACTATATATACAATTCTACCCATCTAATCCTAGTACACAGGCATGTCAGGCTGCCATGCTGCTATAGTGACTAGATGTGACAGCAGGGCTGACTTTGGCGTCTGCCCCTGCTGTGGCTACAGAGCGGCAGGTGAGCTATTTGGCGCCTGCCCCTGCAGCTGCTACAATGCAACAGCAGGGAGCCCTTTTCGGCGCCGTCTTCCCCTGCTGCGCATTCATACAAGGGGAGCAGCAGGTTAGCTAACAATTCTTCCCATAATCCTGCTGCTAACCCTTCAATCCCCTCCATGCCGATCATCTTCTTCAGCTCCGTGAGTCGAAGACGGCCGAACGGCTTGGTGAGGACGTCGATGAGTTGCCGACCAGTTTCGACGAACTCGATGACAATCTGCCCTCCATCGATACAGTCCCTGAGGAAGTGGAACTTGACGTCAATGTGTTTGCTCCGGTCGTGGAGAACCGGATTCTTCGCGAGGGCGATGGCGGGCTGGTTGTCCACCATCAATGCTGGTGGGTGAGCTTCCACACCGGTTAGCTCGCCCAGCAGCCGGCGTAGCCACACAACTTGGCACGCCGCTGTGGCCGCCGCCACGTACTCTGCCTCGCACGTGGACAGTGCCACCACCTTCTGCTTCAGCGACAACCATGAGATAGGAGCTGATCCGAGGAAGACGAGCACGCTAGAGGTACTCCGCCGTCCGTCGATGTCTCCCGCCATGTCCGCATCGCTGAACACAGTGAGCTGTAGCCTACTTCCATCGGTCTTGGGGAAAACGATCCCCTGATCCACCGTCCCTTTGACGTAGCGCAGTAGCCGCTTCACCGCAGCCCAGTGATTCTCTCGAGGATCCTCCATGAAGCGGCTGACGTAGCCCACGGCGAACGCAATGTCTGGCCTCGTGTGGACTAGGTAGCGCAGACCCCCGACGATGCTCCGGAAGAGTGTTGCATCTACCTTCGCCGCGGTACTGGCCTTTGTCAGCTTCAGCCGCTCCTCCATTGGAGTTACGCACGGCTTTCACTCAATCGTGCCGCTCCGCTCCAACAGCTTCGAGGCGTACGCGCTCTGACTGAGCGTGAGCGTCTCCTTCCCCTGTCTCACCTCGATACCGAGGTAGTAGGAGAGCGCGCCGAGATCGCTCATTCGAAAACGAGCCGCCATCTCGCGCTTGAAGCTGTCAATGTTCTCCGCACGCGCGTCGGTGACGATCAAGTCATCCACATACACGCCGACGATGAGCTCCTCCTTCCCTCGTCGCCGCGTGTAGAGCGCGTGCTCGGTTGCGCACCTCGTGAACCCAAGCTCGCCCAGCGTGGTGCCAAGCATAGCCCGTAGGGGGACGGGCCGGCACGGCACGCCGTGCCTCCCATGCCGTGCCCCTCCGGGCATCGTGCCTGGTCTTCGGCCCAAGCACGACCCAATGGGCCGAAATCCGTGCCGTGCCGGCCCGGTAAGCATGGCCAAATCCGCGGGCCGTGCCAGCCCATAGCCCGGTGGCATTAAAACACCTCAAACTGAACACAGTCACAAACACAATCACATTTCACAATTTATTCACATCTCAAACTGATCATAGTCACAAACACAATCACATTTCATGATCACAATCACAAACACAATCACATTTCATAATTCATTCACATCTCAAACTGATCACAGTCACAACTCACAATCACAATTACATTTCACAATTCATTCACATCTCAAGGACTCAAACTGATCACAGTCACAGTCTCACAGATTCTCAATTCTATGTTTCTAACAAAAGCCACCAAAGGAGACAAGAGAATTAAAATAACTGAGTTGTTTGTGCAATGCTGCATTATTAAAAACCTTTCTAGATAAAACTCACCCTTGTGAGAAACCCTAGAAAGAAAAAAAGAGTACATCACAGCTCTTAATAAGTCTTCCATCATTGTTCAAAGGTCCCAAGTCACACTATCACAGATGACAGATACAAAATGGAGATAACAGATTAATCACCAGGAGCCCTACCAGCCCCAGCCTGAAAGGTCCTAATGGTTAGAGGGGGATGAATAGCCTAATAAAAATTTCTACAACACTTAACAAACCGGTTAGACAATTATGAGGCGAAGCAAGTTTTGCGCTAGCCTACTAAAAATGCAAGCCACATACCATAATTTTAGTTTCTATTGTCTCTAACCACACAATAGCTATGGCACTACACTAAGTTAATGTGCTCTCAAAGACTAACTAAAGAGCCACACTAACCAAACTAACAAGCTCTCACAACTAGCTACACTAAAGAGCTTGATAACTAGTTTACAGTAATGTAAAGAGAGAGAGCAAGATAATTATATCGCCATGTCGAGGAGTGAACCAATCAATCACAAGAATCAATATCAATGAAGACCAATCACCTCGGAATCAAATGATGAACACAATGATTTTTTACCGAGGTTCACTTGCTTACCGGCATGCTACTCCTCGTTGTGGCAATTCACTCACTTGGAGGTTCACGCGCTAATTGGTATCACACGCCAAACCCTCAATAGGGTGCCGCACAACCAACACAAGATGAGGATCACATAAGCCACGAGCAATCCACTAGAGTACCTTTTGGCTCTTCGCCGGGGACAGGTCAAGAACCCCTCACAATCACCACGATCGGAGCCGGAGACAATCACCAACCTTCGCTCGACGATCCTCGCTGCTCTAAGCCGTCTAGGTGGCGGCAACCACCAAGAGTAACAAGCGAATCCCGTAGCAAAACACGAACACCAAGTGCCTCTAGATGCAAACACTCAAGCAATGCACTTGTATTCTCTCACAATCTCACAAAGATGTTGAATCTATAATGAAGATGAGTGGGAGGGCTTTGGCTAAGCTCATAAGGTTGCTATGTCAATGCAAATGGCCAAGAGAGTGAGCTTGAGCCGGCCATGAGGCTTAAATAGAAGCCCCCACGAAATAGAGCCGTTGTACCCCTTCACTAGTTACAACGCGGGGTGACCGGATGCTCCGGTCATATTGACCGGACGCTGGACCTCAGCGTCCGGTCACGCGATACGTGCCACGTGTCCCCTCTATTCAAATGTCGATCGCCCGATCTCAACGGTCAAGTGATGACCGGACGCAGCAGCTCAAAGTGACCGGATGCTGAACCCCAGCGTCCGGTCGTTTCCAATAAGCATCCAAAGACGACTTTTCATGACTAGACACACCCAGCATCCGGTCACTTAACGTAATCATATGTCAGACTGATCGGACTCAGGCCCTGAGCGTCCGGTCAGTTTTCGCGCCAGCGTCCGGTCAAGAGACCAAAACTGTGCGCCCTCTGCTGCCACTGACCAGACGCGCCGGTCCAACCGAGATCAGTGTCCGGTCACTTACAGTGACCTCCGTCTTTTCTGTCTAGGGCGCCTGTGGCACCGTCAAACTGTCCGCACTCTATGGGCGGACACTCCGTCAGTGAAGATCCTAACCCTTGCTTAAATGTGCCAACCACCAAGTGTATCATCCTTGTGCACATGTGTTAGCATATTTTCACAAACATCTTCAAGGGTGTTAGCACTCTACTAGATCCTAAATGCATAAGTAATGAGTTAGAGCATCTAGTGGCACTTTGATAACCGCATTTCGATATGAGTTTCACCCCTCTTAATAGTACGGCTATCGATCCTAAATGTGATCACACTCATTAAGTGTCTTGATCACCGAAACAAAATGGCTCCTACCATTTATACATTTGCCTTGAGCCTTTTGTTTTTCTCTTTCTTCTTTTCAAGTCCAAGCACTTGATCATCACCATGACATCACCATCATCATGTCATGATCTTCATTTGCTTCACCGCTTGGAATGTGCTACCTATTTCATGATCACTTGATAAACTAGGTTATCACTTAGGGTTTCATCAATTCACCAAAACAAAACTAGAGCTTTCATAGCCCTAGATGAACCAACCCCAGCCCCAGATGACAGATTAATTACCAGTAACCCTAGATGTACCAGCCCCAGATGAACCAGCAGTACCAGCAGCCCCATCTGCATCATCATCGAGGTACAGATTCTTGAAGGAGTCCTCCAGCTCTTCGTTGTCAATAGTATGTTGTAATATGCTTTTTCCCAACTCCCAATCCTTTATGCAGGCCAGCATCTCCACAATTTTAGGCAACAGGCGGCGTCGCCGCTCTTCAATTATCCTTCCTGTCAAGCTAAAACATGATTCCGAAGAGACAGTAGAAATAGGAACATACATAATAGCTCTAGCCATTATAGATAGGATTGAATAGGTTAGTTTGTGGTCACGCCACCAGAGAAGTAAATCAAAATCATCCTCATATACAGTGACATTGTCACTGTCTAGATAAACTGAGAGCTCATTAGCAGTAAAAGATAAAGTGGGGGCACAGACAGGGGAAGGACCAACAATAGATCCATGGCCTCCAAAGATTCTTCCCCATGCTTGTTTTCTCTTACCAGTATGGCTTGCAGGCTGTGCAACCCTTTGACCCCTAGCTGCACCAAACTTTCTCTCATATTTGTTAAATAACTTGTAAATTTTAGTTTTCACATCAGCATAATATGAAGTATAATCACAACCAGTGCTCTCTTTAAGTAATTCGAAAACTCTACATAAACCTCTCATCTTAGCTCTAGGATTAAGAATGAATGCAAATAAATATAACAGAGGTATATGCTGCCAGTATTTAAGGAATTTAAGCTTCATAGAATATACAACAGCAATTAGATTTTGATCTTTGTCACTTGCATGTAAATGAGAAGCAATTTCTAGCAGATGGCGCAGGATAAGTGGACTAGTTGGATAGTAAACACCAGAAAGAACAACAGTGGAGTCATAAAATAGTTCTAGAAACTCCAATATCTTTTCAGCTATGTACCAATGCCTTGCAGACAACAATTCACAACCATAATTGAAATTAATGAACACAGAAAAAACATGCTTATATTAAATCAAGTGTTTAAGCATAAGATATGTAGCATTCCATCTAACATCCATATCTAAGCCAAGCTTTCTAGGTCTAACACCCTGAGCAGTATAGTAGTTCTTAAACAAAGCAATTGTTTGATTAGAGGAATTTAAGAAGTTAATAGCAGTTCTAAAATCTTCTGTGTAAGGTTTGAACCTCTTTAAACCAGATTTTACAATCAGATTAATGATATGACAAGCACAACATTGATGGACAAGACTGTACTTACGCTTAGAAGGATCAACAGGCTCAGGTGTAGGATCAGGACCCAAATAACCAGCAAACATAGGTGTCAAAGTTTCCATAGCCTTAGCATTAGAAGAAGCATTGTCTAGAGTTACAGAGAAAACCTTATCAATGAGACCAAACTCCTCAACCACACAAGCAACTCTTTCAGCAATATTTTCACCAGTATGTTTCACCTCAATCAACCTAAGCCCAATAACCTTGTTCTATAACTCCCAATCAGCACTAACAAAATGAGCAACAACACTAATGTAATCCTCGTTAGCATTACTGGACCAAAATGTCTGATGTCAGAGCAACAGAAGAAGCAGCAGACAACACAGAATTCTTAAGCATATTATAACGTTCAGTAAACAGTTTACTCAGATATCTAGTGGTGGTCTGTCTAGATACTTTAACAAACCTAGGGTTATGAGCACGGACAATGTAATCCTCCCATGCCTCTGTCTCACCAATACCTAACGACAAATCAAGCCTAGCATTCAAGCGACACAATTCATATCTAGCAACATTAGGTTTATAGTCCTAGTTATGCACAGAACCATCAGTATTGTAAGCAAGCCTAGACTGAACCCTAGCAGCTTGATCAGTTTTCTGCCTACAAGATTTCTGGTGCCTCTTCAAGTGCCCAGTGCCAGCATTAGATCTAGCAGATAAAGTATGCTTATACATTTTATAGGTATCTTTAGTGCAGATTTTCCTACCATTCACAGTCTCGTAGATCTCATCAAAATCAGCCCACACAACAGATTTATGTTTACCAACACCAAGTTCAGAAGAGGTACCAGTACCAACAACAGATAGAGTTGAGCCGTCGGAGCAGACCGGGGTCCTAGTCTCTGTTGCCCCTTCACCACCACCGCCATCCAGACCGAACAAGGCAGCATCGTCCTCTTGGGTGTCGTCGTCGTCCTCAGGTGCCAGGCCTGCCGCGATGAGATCGTCGTTGCCGGTGAGCGGCCAGACGATCTCGTCATCAGCACCAGCCATGGCACCCTCGACCGCGGAGGGCTCTCTAGCACCGTTCCTCAACGGTGCACGAGGCCGCCTTGGTCGCTCTATGCCACAGCTAGAGGACGACGCATCGGCTACCAACCTGCGTAAAGACATGGAGGAGGAGGAAAACAATATATCAGAATAGATCAATGGAAGAAGAGGGGGATCAGTGGATCACAGTTAGGGTTAGGGTTAGGGTTAGGGTTCAGGATGTACCTACGCAACCGGAGCCTGGTGCCGGAGAAGACGAGGGCCACCCAGAGATGACGACACACCAGTTAGAAGGACGGCGAGCGGTGGAGGAGGGGCAGACGGGGACACGAACTCACATAATCACCGAGATCTAGAGGGGAGATAGGGATAGGGAGAAGGGAGAGGCGGAGAGGGAGCAGGGAGGGGATCAGATAGGAGGAGTAGGGAGCCTGCTTTCGGCCAAGGCAAAGTGGATCGTCGAGGTCACCTCACCAGAGTCGAGGAGGACGGAGCCGAGACTGCGAGGGCGAGACCGCGAGAGCCGAGAGCGAGGCGAGGCGAGTGAAATGAGCTAGGGTTCGGGGTGTGAGAGCCGCCGCGGCCGCGACATTCAAGATGGCAACGGGTACCTGAAACCCGAGTACCCGATGGGTTTTACCCGATAAGGAGGCGGGTATGGAAGACATTTTGCACCCGCGGGTACGTTATTGGACGAATTCTTATACCCATCGGGTATGCGGGTACGGGTGTGGGTGTATACTACCCATACCCGCATACCCGCAGGTAAAAAAACCCGCATAAATAATATCCAACTTCTGCAATTTTAGCCCATATAAGCATATGCCCATATTTGACCCATATAAGCATATGAGTATATATATATTCCAGAACTCCCTCAAACCCTAATCCTCATCCTCACTCCACTCCACCATTATATTTACATTTTTCTTTTTGCTCTTGTTGTTGATTTGTTTTGTCGAAGCTATTATATTTTGGTGTGTGAACTTCGGGTGTATTGTCGGGTAGAATTATCCTTCTAAAAGCGGGTATGGAATGAATTTTCTACCCGCTTATGGTACTGGGTAACCCGACGGGTAAGATTTTGATCTGGCGGGTGCGTGTGCAGGTGGCAGATACCATCGGCACGCACTGCCGTTGCCATCTTGACGCGGCATGCGCTTATATATGAGGAGGGGATCTTGGGGATGGTGGGGCCGGCCATACCGGGCACCGGGCCTTTGGGGAGGGGAGGAGGAGTGAGGAGGGGGAGGGGGGAGGCCGGGCCGCTGCCGGGCTGACCGATGCAGGATGCCGGCCGTGCAGTCGCCAGTGCCCCACAGGGCTGAGCAAGCAATGGCCCGAGCACGGCCTCGCTCCCTCGGTCGAGCCAGCCCGGCCCGCACGTCACCGGGCCGGGCCGTGCTTGTGTCGGGCTAAAAAAGCGGGCTTCGTGCCGTGTCGTCGTGCCTCGGGCTGCATGGACATTTATAGTGCTGTTAGCTGGATTCATAGCACTGTGTTTTGTTTTTGCTATTTGAGTCCATGAACTTGTGTTGTTGAGGACCCGAGTGACATCACAATACAAGTTCAGGGACTGAAATATAGGAAAATTGTGGATTAGGAACCTAGATGACATCATCGTGCAGGTTTAGGACCGCCAATGATGTTACTTGTTTTAAATTTTTTTGTTTGAAAAAATTATAACTTATATGCGTGAAATTGTGTAAAAAAACCCTATTCAATATCATATACACGAAAGGGTCCTGAGATATATAATTTAGAAGTTAGGAGTAGTTGTCAAATGTATGCAATGATTGAAAAAAAACATGCGAAGTCAAATGAGGCAATAATTACTCACCTGAGGGTGATTTCAAGATCCCACATCACAAAAAATGTCAACTGTAAATCGTCCCACGAGAATCATGTACACTGGACTCAACCATTGTCATGACGAAATCAAAAGCACTTCGTTACGTGCTCAAAAAGGTAGATGCCGATCAGGCTTGTCATCGCACCTAGTCCAACAATAACAATGGTTGATATATTAGTTTTACCAGTGACTGTAACTTTAACAGAATCCACATGGTCTTGGCAATTCACATTTTTTTTCAAACTTTGCAAACACATTCACTTTCCTCAATTTTGCATCAAAAGAAAAAAAAAAGAAATGTCTCTTCGTTTCAGCAGACAATCAGAAGGCTTGCGCAGAACCGGGAAGCTACACGCAAAAGTCGGCTGCGAAAGAAGGTGAATATTGAGCACCATTTACTTAGAAACTGAATCATTTAACAGTGAGTTTACCAAGTTCTTGGCAGTTAATTTTGTCAATGTGCTATAGCCTTACATTCAGCAGCTTGAGAGCAGCAAACTGAAGCTTGCTCAGATAGAATAGGACATGCAGAGAGCACGTTCCCAGGTACACTGTAGTTTCTAGGCCTGTGAGTTGCCTTCTGACTACTAACTGAACATCTGAGTTATTTATCAAAAAAAAAAAAAAACTGAACATCTGAGTCGATGAAATCTGAACTCGTGTGTTTTCAGGGCATCTTTCTTGGAGGAGCTCCAGGTGCAAACACCAGCTCAGGTGCCTAATCTGATCCTCATTTCTCAACGTTCTTGTGCGTTGTTGTAGCTATAACTATTATCACCAGCATTTTTATAGTCCACTTGTCTCACCATCCATGTCCAGGCGCCGCAATGTTCGACGTGGAGTACGCCCGGTGGCTGGACGACCACGGCCGGCGCATGGCCGAGCTGCACGGAGCTCTGCACGCGCACTTGCCAGATGCTGACCTCAGAGCCATCGTGGATGACACCCTGACCCACCACGATGAGCTGTTCCAGCTCAAGGCGTCAGCAGCCAAGTCCGATGTGTTCCACCTCCGAGCGGTGCGGATCTGGTCAAGGTATGAATTCGTCTGATAATCTGAATATAGAAGTATAGAACATCTGATGTCAAGCTGCCTGCACTATACATACTGTACACAACTGCATTCACATAGATTGATAAGCTAAATCTAGGTTACTGTGGTAGAAACCTCACTTGACAGTTTTTACCTTTTCAATACTTGAATTAACAAGAATTTTTCAACCAACAGTAGGAAAACATGAACAAAGTCGAAATTATCTGACGTCATTTTAGTACAAGATTTTCAATTTCAGTACATATAATTTTTCATGTTGCTGCAGACGCTGCTGCCCCAGCTGGATCCCCTGACTGAGCAGCAACTGGTAGGCATATGCAACCTTCAACAGTCATCACAGCAGGCGGAGGAAGCTCTCTCCCAGGGCCTGGACCAGCTGCATCAGTCACTAGCTGACACCATGGCTGGTGGATCTCTGATTGATGACACCAACATGAGCTTCATGGGTCAAATGGCCCTTGCCCTTGGCAAGCTGTCCAACCTTGAAGGTTTTGTGATACAGGTTATGGTTTCACATGAAATTTTCACTCTTGATCATTATGTCAGTGTTATATAGTCCTCCACTCAACTTTGTAGATGAGCAAGTAACCACTTGATAGGACTTCTAAGAGTTAATTAATAAAAAAATTTCGCAGAGATAATGTATTCAGGAGTCAGGACATCTTTATTTGACTTGCCACACTCGCAAAAAAATAAGCAGCTGTTCTTTTTAGACAACGTCAAGTTTAATTATTCGATACTATGTAGCTCACTGATATCTAATAGGCTTTATGATGCCATCAGAATGTATAAATGTGGAAGTTTCATGTCTGCGTTGTAGAGAAGATATGACTTGTCAACTATGCAACATGTGCTAAAGCTAGATGTGTAATTTCCAGGCTGATAACTTGAGGCAGCAGACTCTTCATCAGATGCACCGGATTCTGACAGTTCGTCAGGCGGCGCGATGTTTCTTGGCCATTGGCGAGTACCACAACCGCCTCCGTGCCTTAAGCTCCCCCTGGGTTTCTCGGCCTCGAGAGTAAGCACCATGCCGTTCCTTAGTCAGTCTCCTATCTTTAGTTGGTTTAAGAAGTATCCAACCTCTAGGATTTATTTTTTGAAAGATCCAACCTATAGTTGTTGAAGGTAGTATTGACTAACGAGTGAACAAATTCAAGTACACATTAATTAATTTATATAGAGTGAGCCAGGGCTTCTGGATAGGTATACTAAATTAGTACCATGGTGTTCCCTACTAAATCAGCAGGGAATGGACCGCTCTCCTACCAGCAATCAAAATCCAGCAAGCAACAAATAACAAAAAATAAGTCCATACTAGCTTAAAAGAAGGGCCATGCTATGGCAATATTAGATGTTTGGACAACTAACTGAACTCTATAAAACCCTAAAATAACTAGCTGAAGAGCTATAACATATCTTTTCAATATGCTTCCCTGATCAATTTATTATATCTGGTGCCTGTATGGCGTGCAGGATACTGGTTGCAGATGAAGGCAGTTGTGGGGAGATAAGCATTGCGGCACAAGCATCCCAAAGTCAATTTTCATCCTTCTGATTCACGCATGATTTGGAACTAACCTTCGTCTTAGGAGCAAGAGAGAAACGACTGGGAAGTGGAAAGAGAAGTTTTGGATGCCATCAGATATATCTGAGAGGCACAGAAGAGAGCTGGGAAATGAATGCAGCTTTAGAACAGGGAGTGTTTCTGAAAATGTGCGGAACCTGTACGAGCAATTTCCAGGACGTGAAATTGTTTAGTTCACTGGAGTCGCGTCCAGTACTGCACGTTCTTTTGGTTCTGTCCAGTCTGGATTCTCAAACAACTCTACCTTTGGTTCTGTCCAGTCTGAATTCTCAAAACAGCTCTGCCTAGGTAATGAAAGAATTCATTCGGCAACTCTACACAGACAATTGCTGGTTACTGCATATCTACTTATCTACTAGTAATCTGTATGACTATGCCTTTCTCCACTTTCTAGTTACCCATAAGGATTACTAATAACTATCTTAACTAGATCTGTTTATTATGTAATCTTTACCAATGTGTCCACCTATCTGGTTATAAATAAAGGAATTAAAGATAGTGTCTGATCACAATTGACTATTAAGGTCGGTGAAGAAAAGTAGAAAACCCTCCCAGACATAGATATAATAAATCAAAGTGAAATGACCATCCTCCCTGGTATAGTTCTACCAAAAAGGAACCTTCCCACTGAGTGCTTTTTTTCTTATCTTATTACTGGAGTACCCGGACGGTTCGGCCTTGGAAAGCACGTACCGTGAGGCCTAGCCCAATGCAGCATTCCTCGGGACAGATTTGGCCCGGTTTGTATTTTGGCCCACTTAATCCGACCAGAAGCTGTCCTGGTGCCGGTGGGCCTACGCTGTAGCTAGCTAGCTGGAGCCCAACGGCAAGCTTTTGAGCTCGGATCGGTTTATTTGTACCATTATTTCCCCTTAGAAATCGATAATCATTCCATTCCATTTTAAAAAAACGGACAATTAAGCCACTGCCTGCTCCTGGGATGCCTAATTATCAGTTTGCCCTAGGATACCTCAAATTAGGGTTCTATTGAGGCGAAAACTTCACCGGAGCCTTCAACATTGCAGTTCTAGGATTTTCCATGTTATAAATAGTGTATAACGGTGATTTCTCACTGATTTTACCAAAAGTCATAGGGGTCAGCTTACCCCCAACAAAGAGGTCTAGCTTCGCATGTGATTGTCCTTCCTCCCTGCTTTTTATTTATTTGTAAGTTCACCCCTCTGTGTTTATGCTCTTGCTCCTTGTTATGAAGTCAAGGGCAATATATACGCCTCATCTCGGTAACCCAGGGGCCAAGATACAAAAGTCGTTTATGGAGATGGAGAGGGTAGCAGACAAGCTTTTAGATGAAGGAAATAGTCTTATTCTGACCATTTATTATTGCAAGATATGTCCTCCGTAATAGACTAGTGATGACCAAACAAGGAGCAAATGTTAAAAGAAAAAGAAAAAGAAAAAGAAGGGACCAATGCCAGCTCTAGCATGGCATCAGCAATTCGGCATCATCCATGTTACAATATAACTATTATATAAAAAAAGTAGAAAGATGATCAAGAGTAGCTATTGATTCATGCAGTCATGCTTGTCGTACTTTGAAGGCGTTAGCTATATACTGCAATTTTCCATTTTCATCAAGTGCAGTCATTTATGATTAGGACAGGTCAATAGATTAAAAGCCGGCTATTATCCACACTCCTATGCGGTACTGTGTGGCGCACCGCACATGGTATGATATTCAGCCTGTTCGGCTGGGGCTGAAACGATCGTGTATTATTACTGCTGGCTGGTTTGGTGTGAGAGAAAAATATTGTTCTGGCTGGAAATTTACGATCGTTTACGACCAAGCGAATATGCTGATTATTGGATTGGATGTGATAGCTTGGGTCATAACTTTGTAACGGTTGCGGCTTATTATTGGCCCTCTTGATAAGGAGGTTGACACCAAAGCCTTTTTATTTTCAATCATACTCCCTCATTTGCTTATACAGAATTGATTTTAATATTCACTTTCTCTTCTAACATATATTTAGTTGCTAAAAAAAACAATATCATCTCTGAGACACTTTAAATATAAAATCTATTTGTACAAGTTCTATATCTAAACTTGCATATAGTTTGACTAACCGTTGATCAAAATTTGTAAGATTTAATTTTTTCTCCTATCAAATATGATTATCATTCCATACGATATATAATAATTTATCTATATCTATATATCTAATCTAACATTAAAGAGCTAAAATTCCTCTTTTATTTTTTGTCAGTCTTTCCCTAACGTAACTCCGTGAATATGAAAACTGTCTCTGTTTGTCTCTCCATAAATCTTCCGTTTTATGACATAATAGACACAGATTCTTAAGGTAACCGTAACCTGGATAGTTAGGAATCCTAATTCAAATATATCCTCCAATCCTAAGTAAGTTGAATAGGAATCCTAACCCAAATAAAGCCAAAATTTATACCGTGAAATCTTTCATCCAAATTTAATCACACACCCGCTTCGGACGTCACTTTTTTTTCATTTTCCATGCCCGAGTCGTTTTTCCTCTCGATCTATTTTTTTTTTTTGGACCATATATATTTTTTTTTCTTTCCGTAGATTATTTTTTCATTTTTGGACCATAACCTTTTTCCTGTCCTACCCCTACTTTCTGCGTCTGTTGATAATTTTGGTCATCTATCCTTTGAGTTGTGATTGTAGCTTGACACATCCCGCATCATATCATAAATATATAGGACCTATTCAGATCGACTAGAGCTAGTTACTAGTTGGTTGAAAATTAGCTCAAATTAGCTAAGGTTGGTTAATTAGTTAGTTAACAACTAGTCGAAGATTTGACTAAAAAATTAGCCCACTTATTAGTCCTCATGTTTAAATGCACTAGAGTCAATTTGACCTAAATTTAGCCAGCTTAGTAATTAGCTCATGGTCTCCAAACATGCTCAGTGAGACTCGCTTCATCCCACACGTCCCCACACGTCTATAGCTCTGTATCCTTTCTTTTCTATTGCCGTTTTTATCCAAGACATGATTCTTCAGATTTTGTTTTTACAGTTCTTACGTTGTCCGTTTCTTTTTCTCCGGTCTACACAATTTCGTCCCTTTTTCAGCCCCCTTTTCCTCTAGACCATAATTCCATCTGTTTTTCCGAGTCTGTCAATGCGTTTTTTTTTCCCCGCATGCGTCGACACGGAAAAATTACATGCAAAAAAATAATTTAGTTTACGTGTGAATAATGCTTCCTAATATAGTAATAAACAATATCTGCATATACTTAAAATCAGTGTCTTGGAAACAAGAAGAAAACACGAAATCTATTGAGAGGAAGCATACTTTTAATCCATTTATCAAAAGCTCATAGCCCATTACGGCACTGCTCATATCTCTGAGCCACAAATCGCTCAAGAGACCTCGTTACAAGCTGTACATTTCGTTGTAACATCTGAAGCATATTCACCAAATTTTCATCTTTCAATCTCTCTCCCGTTTTCACCAAATTTTCATTCCGTCCGGTCCATCTACTTACCTGAGCATAAGAGTTTTGGCCAGTTAATTTTAATATAATAGTATAGTCCATGATAAATTAAGGGGTTAGAGTCCTGATTGGTTCACTCTCCAGTCCTGACGCAACACGTCCGATGCTTATACGAGTTATTAGAGTCTGCGCCCAATCACAGAAGCCCGGTTCCAAGACGTGTGTTCGAACAAACGACCCCATTGCAAGGCATAGGCATGCCTTAAGGAGAGAATGGATTCTTCTGTCCATACTTTTATACTTCCCACAATGCGTTTATGCCGTATGTGGTCTGGATTCATAGCTCATGCCCATATGAGTTAGAAGAACACGCATCCAACAATGTACTCAATCCAATTCCAATGCGTACCGGAACAGGTGGCACGATCATTATTGAATATAAACATAAATTGTACATATAACCAACCAACGAGTCATATACGTTCCGTTGCAACGCATGAGCATATTTTGCTAATACATAAAAAAACAATAATAACTAATCTATTTTTTTCTATTCTATTCGATTCGAGATGGAGCCGAAACCAAAGTAGGAAAGGCGCGCTCTCTTCCGGGTGACGTCCAGCGCAGCAAGCAGCAAACAAAAAACAAGACGTCTGCGAATACAAATAATAACAATGAAACCGGCCCGGCCCGGCCCGTCTAGCGGTCCAGATCCAATCATGCCGTCCAAGTGGCGCGTAGGGGGAATTCCTTGTGTGCCATTAAAAAAGATCGCAATGCACTGTGTGCCTTTGAAAAAGTTCAGCGGTTTTCAACGCCACTGCTATAACTTTTTTGTGCCCTCCATGCCACTGCCGTCAGTTTGGGCTCTAACGCCGTCAACTGCAGGTGTAAAAAATCAAAAATACTCTTAAGTCTAAATATGTAATTAATTTTTTTGAGCATCTTAACGACTTCAAATGAAAAAACTCAAAACTAGAAAGTTGTAGATCTCGTCGAGATCTATAATTTTCATATAAAAATTATCTTTATTTAATTCCGCAAAAAAAATATGATTTGATATTATAAGTGTTTCAGTTGCTTCCAACGTATGTTGCAAGTGTTTTATTTGGTTGTTGCAAAACTAAATCATAGTGTTATATATGTTTCAGCGGACGAGCAGGAAGGGCAGCACGCGAGCAAATGTGACCAAGCAGCCGGGCGAGCAGGCACAAGCAGCGGCTGGGCGAGCAGGCAGGGTAGCGGGCGAGTAGACGCGAGCTGTGACAGACGGCCAGGCGGGCGACACGAGCAAGCCGACGGCCAGGCGAACGGGCGGGGAGACGCAACAGGCTAGCAAGCGCGGGTGTCCGGGCACGGGCTTCCGTCCGGGCGTCCGAGCGCCCCCCTAAACCTAGCGACTTGTTTCTACGCGTACCACATCGATAAGAAACGTGTACTTTATTAGAAATCAAATCACGTAATGCAATAGTAGTTTTCTTATCCCTACATTCCTTTTGCAGACGCATTACATGCAGACCCTCTCTCTCTCTC